AGTTGTGGGGCAGAGTGGCTCGCAAGTGACAGGGTGGCCGTGTCCCGCCACCAGGAAGGGCGCCACACACAGAATTGGGTGCTGAGCTGGGATTAGCGTGGGCTCCATGACACCAGTACTGCTGGGGATGTGACTTTTGTCTACACCCACAAGGCAGCTTTGTCACTCTGTGATGCCACGCTACTGTGCTACTACTGAACTCCTGGTCATTTTCCAATAGGCCAAGCACAAGCGGTATTTTGGGCACTCTGCGCATGTCACCAACATACGCTTTTCTCATGATGACAAGTACGTTGTAAGTACAGGAGGAGATGACTGCAGGTAACTGCTCATTTATTTCTAAGATGATCCAAAATTTTGTGCGTACCCTTCTATGCCAAACCCACAGCAATGCATTTAACCTTTCTCGCCCCACTTGGCATTCATTGAAGCCTGCTGATAGGTGACAGTTTCAGTTTGTTGTTCTTACTTTGGAATTGCTGTATTTTATGGTTCCTTGCACCAAATTCACTCCTGCCACCTTGGTGCCGTTCACAAGGTCACCTCTACTGCGTAAAACATCTTGCATTTAGGTTTCTGCATCTACCAGGCATCTGCTTATACCTCCTTGGCTTGCCTTCCTCCCAGTGAGCATGGAGACAAGGCAGACCATGTACCTGTTGCTGCACAGACCAGCACTGACCTCCAAAACTTTGGGTGCCAAGAGGCAGCTGAAGGAGCCCCAGCTGCTGGCACAGGAACCACTCAGTGTGTCTGGAGAACATTTAGATCAGACAAAGACAGCTGGTGAGGGTGTCAGTCACACCAAAGTAACTGAATAGCTCCTGCCCAGCAAAGCTAGGACAGGAACGCCAGCTGAACAGAGGATAGACAGATTTAGAAAGATGTTTCAAATAACAGGAGGTTTCTCAAAAGGTGCCTTAAGTTTGTGTTGGGGTGTTTGGGGGTGGGGTTTTTTTCCTAAAAAAAAAAAAAAAAAAAAGGGGGAAATGCACACACATGTGATTCCTACTGGAGGCCCCTCCACTCCCCAAGTCTGTTTGAGCTTCCAGTACTGCTCGGAGAGGACGCGACTGTTGAGGAGAAAAAGTGAGGAATAAAAACTAAACTGTAAGAGACTTTTTTTAAACAGCAAAACCTAGAACTAGAAAAACTGAAAAGGAACAAGGTAGGAAACGAAAGGGCACAAATTCTCACAGGAACAAGCGTCAGGAAGCCGTGTTCAAACACCAGGTCTCTGCAGAGACTGCAGGATTGAGTAATTTTTGCTAGTGAATGACACTGTGCAGCTTTTCCAGACGCGGAAAACTAAATACCGATGTACATTTCGGAACGCTAGGCTCCCCTCGATAAGCCTGCAGCGCAGTTTGTTCATCATCCTGCCACCAGTGTAACTCGCTGCACGGGCTGAGCTGTTCTTCAAATTTCGGGTTCACAATCTTTTGTGCAATCATGATGGAAATAAAGAACCACACCCCCACCAACAGATGTTTCCATTTTCCACTTTGGGGGAAAAATAAAAAATAAAGGGGGTGGGGGGTGTTTCTTCTCTGAAAAAAGGGGCTGCACAGCAGGAGAGCAGGAACCTCTGTGAGATAAAAAAGCAGCTGCATAGGAATAAAGGCTGCATTTACCTCAAGTCTCACCCTGCAGGCTAGAAGTTACATAAAACTCAGCAAAGCTGATCAGCTGCCTTAATTTTGACAGTATAGTTATGATGAGGGTTTCTTGATTCAAAGTGCAACTATACAGAGCAAAATAATGGCATTTCCAACCTCCAGGCTATCACTAAAACGCACGCACGCTGATCGAGTTCGGTACTCTGCTTTAACTCTCTCCCGAGAAGAGGAAGTGCAGTCAAGTGCCGGTCTCTCTCGAGTAACTCCAGCGCTTAACGTTGCTTCACCGTGCTGGTAAATCCACGTGTCTAGCCATGTATGTACACAAGTCAGCCTGTCTCTCTTGGTATGATATGCCGAAGGCCATCATTGAGTTAGTTACTCAGAAAAATAACTACCCTCCCAATTCATTTCTTTGTAGTGTATTTGTATGGCGATGTCTTTGAGAAGAGATGCTCACTGCTGCTACTGCCACCCCCAAGTGACTGCTCCGGACTGGACAGCCATAAATGCCTCTACCCCTTCGGCTGCTGTAATTCCCCCACAATGCTGCATGGATTACACATTTTCAGATTACTCAGAAACTTACTGAACATGAATGTGATTTTTGCATTTGAAAGATGCAATATCTCAATATCCTTGAGAAGCTGAAGTTTGAAAGGGAGTCTTTTGTAACCTGGGTAGGCCAAAGTGATGAACAACCAATTCACTCACAAAGCTGCTTTTGCCTAATACTGTGTTATTTAAAAAAAAAACAAAACCCACCATGTCTGAAAAAGGGAGCACAAGGAGAAATGCTGGGCCCGTTAATTTGTGTAATTTCAAAATGTATGGCTTGAACATTTGTTCAAGAAATTTGATGGGTTTTTTAACCACACTTGCATAAAACTCAAATTTGGTGCACTGAGTAAAACAGCAAGCTTTTAATGAGCATGCTGGGGTTCACACTTCAGCTTTCAGTAATTGAACGAGGAAAGTATCATTTTTTTTAAAGTCCATTTTATTTTAAAATATATATTTGGCAAGATTTTCTATCCATTAAGTGCCTTTGAATAATTTTCTAGTGGTATGGGCTACAGTCTTGCCTCCCACCAATTGCTTTCAACATACGGTGCTATAACTTTCACAGAGAGGAGGGCTATGCATTACTCACATCACATTATTATCCCTGTTTTCTACTTTGGCTTTTAACATCTTCACACAAGTGAATTCCAAAATGTTTCCAAGGGCAAGAAGCTACGCGCTGTTGTAAGGATAAACTCCTGATGGCAGGACACCTTGGTAAGCTGTTCACCATCCGTCCACGATGGCAGCTTGCCTGCAGCCAGAATTTGAAGCTAAACTCCAGTGGTGAGTAGGAGAGAGAGCGAGCGAGCATGGAGAGACTTGGTTAAAGGAATTTAACACCACTACTGAGGAAGTTGTTCCCCAACTGCTCCTGCCCTCTCCCCGTTTATGGGAAGATGTGCTTTGTAGGTAACTATTTCCACAGGCAGCAGCCATCTAGCAGAAGTGGTCTGAAAGCCTCCAAGAATCACTGTCATTTCCCCTTCCAGAGGGGCTGCCTGACACCATCCAAAGGAAGGCCTAGTACAGCACCAGTGAGGACCATGCGGACCCTCCAGCAGGCAGCTAGGAATTAGGACAAAAATCACAGCTTGTAACTAGAAAAAAAACGCCCTGATACCAGGAAATTTCCCTGTCCTCTAGAAAGCAGAGTCTTTGCTAAATCATTGCTTCTCTTGCACCCTGTGCAGCCGTCTGGGCTGGGGGTCACGGGGCAGGAGGGCAGCCGAGGCAAAGGGCAAGTTGCCTCCACCTGGAAGCAGAGACCCTGAGCAGATGTTCACAAAGGCAAGTAAAGCCCTTCAACATTTGTTAACGAACATTCTGTTAACACCACCAAAAACTACAGGGACAGGGGACTTGAGAGACAGTAAAGTTCACCTTCTTCCAATGCAACAGTTTCGAAAGGAAAGGAAAATGTGAACAATGCCAAAACAAAAGATTTATGAGACTTCTGGCATGGAACAATGTCCGTAATTAGGAATTACCTTTCTTTTAAAAAGCCTCTTTGTTAATCAAAAGAAATGAAGGCCAAAATAAAACACTTAGACTTACATGACTTTTTGAAAAGAAATGTTGAGTAGTGCTTTAGTCCCAGTTCAGGACAACGTAATTTTGAACTGTGGAAGCTGCATAAAACAGCAGCTCTTGGATGCAATGGATATCCAGTTAGAGGAGTGGATTGATGTACAGTAATACACAAAAGTGCTTCAGCAACCTCAAAGAATCACCTTTTTTTTAAAGTTGAATTTATTAATGCCTTATATTACTATACAGAAGATCAGTTTGTCAGATACACAGTAGGAGTCCCTATGCAGTCTTTTTTTTTTTTTTTTTTTTTTAAGGAAACCTTCTTGGTCAAATAATGTAATCGTGTTAGGTGGTGATGTCAGTGAGCACCTTCTTTGCCTATGTTGTAATGATGTTTGCCTTCCTTTCACACTGATTGTATCCCAAATAAAACCAGTTTGTGGCAGAATGAACTAATCAACACTGATGTGAAAAATATCTTAAAGCAATAGTGTCTGTCAGGAAAACACTTAAAATTTATATGTTCATATGGTTTGGCTTCACGTATAAAATGTTCCAAAGTAATGCTGTACTATACTGTAAACTAAAATATTAGTGCATGAATTTATTTTTCAATGGTCAAGATGCCATTAATTTAAAATCTGTATCTCAAATAAATTTGGATACAAGCTTTCAATGTCCTGCTCTTAAATCAGATTCAACAAGTTGGTCTGAAAAGATTATGGGGACTTGCTTTTTACAACGTCCTTCCAACTGGAGTATGGCATCGTACATGGTTTCAAAAGTAAAAGAAACCAAGAAACTCCATTTAGCAGAATCTAAAATTTCATCTTCCACCATTTTCAATAACCAACTCAACACGAAGTGGTATCTGACACCGTCCCCCCGTCACTGCACCAGCAGTGGTACCGACGGGGCCACCGGCGTCCAGCACAGAGGAAGGCCTCCTCGCTGCAGGCAAGCGTCTGCGCTACAAGAACCTGGGACATCACGTCTGTACCTGGGACTGAACAAACTGCTTCACACTGCACATACGAAAAGAAAAGGTATCATGAAAAATCCATCTACTCACATCGCTATACGTCTGACAACTATTTCCACCACCATGTACAATGGATATTTAATCACGATGAACTTAAAATAAACACAAATATATTAAACTTGCCTCAAGAAAGCAAAATACCGATATTATTTTATGTCTATAAGCTTTATTGATACTTGGGGTTTGTGGGGGGTTTTTTTTGCTTTTTGTTGGGTTGGGTTTTTTTTGTTGGTTTTTTGTTTTTGTGGTTTTTTTTTTTTTTTTTTACATTTCACAATGCATTCCACAGACTTAGTTCAATACAGCTTAAACTGCAACTGTATAAATTTTCACTTAACATTTCTTGCATAACAAGGTTTTAAGTTTCCAAACAACATTTGCAGCATTAGATATTCGGTCCACAGATTATCAGAGTTTGAGAGACTGTAGAATTATTTGCTCAAAATCAACTACTGTACTGTTGTGCAAAGTGTATGCTGTAATTTTCTTTTAATATATGTGGATGTTCCTTTGTTCATTTCTCTTTTTTTTTTTTAAACAGATGCTAGTGTTTACAGAGACATCTTAGTTTTTCAAGCTTGTGTGCTAGGGAGCTAGTCCAGACATCAGTCAGGTCTCTGAAGTATGAAGCACTGTGGAGCAGCTGAAAGATCTAAGCTTTGTGAAACACATATATATATATATTGGCAATTGATAAAACAATAAAATCACAATACAGCTATACTCATACCAAAAAGGCAAGATTTTTCAAAACTTGCTAAAATGGTATATTCTTCTAAAACATCTCATTTTAGAAAATCTGCATCCATCTACACAGACCATACACAGTGCACAAACGGGGAAGTGTTACCCTCCGCTCCACCTGCACTACCTCTTCTGGAACGCAGCAGGGACTACCGCTGATGAAGCAAAATGTACAGCTTTCTCAAATCTTTTGTATTAGCCAGTGCTGCACACAGGATAAAGATGATTAGTTTTAGATCCATACATAGCAGCGTACAATACTTAAGATGATGAAACACATGGCAGTCAAAACAGTTATTTTTTCCTCAAACACTGCGTTGCTAAAAAATAAAGATCTGTGAAATTGCACTGCAATGTCAAGGGTTTTGCTATTCCCTGACCCTCTCCATTAAATCCAAATGAGTATTTTTTCCCCCTTTAAAGATGAACTTCCTATTGATACGTTGCTTCAGGCTTTTTACTCAGTTTTGCGCTTCAACCCGGGGATCTTTGCTTGGATCCTACAGGAGGAACAGGAGAGGAAAAAGAACAGCATTTGAGTAACAAACAAAAAAAGGAGGTGTAAACATCATCTTAAGAACAGCAACATGTGAAGATAATTATTACAGCATCACAAAACTAATGCAGCAGGAAACCAATGAAACTGCTCAATTTTTTTCAGTCAGCCTTCCCTTGGAATGGCTGAGGGCCTCAGGTTTCAAATACACAGATGCCTATTAGAACTCATGTAGGATTAACTTAACAGCATCAGCAAGAAAGGAGCTGATTTTATAACCATTCCAAACTTAAACAAAGGACTTTCTCCTCCCAGGCCCAGTGCATGTAAGCGATTTGTTTGTTATACACAGGCATAGCACACACACCACCAACTGTAAACACTGTTTGTAAACAGAAGCAAACCAACCAACCAAAAACAAAAACCCAACTCACTTAGCCATCGCGTCCTTGACATTCTTGTTCACAAGTCCCAAATAATGGTCAATTTGGGCCTGAAATGGAAATGACAAATGTTGCAGACCAGGTCCTACAAACAGGTCCTTTGCTACCTGGCAGGCAGAGTCCTACTGCACCAAGGCGTGTGTTACACAAAGACCCTGACAGACAGAAGGGGCTCAACCATGTTTATGTCCTGGTTTGACACCAGAGCTCCTGCGGCTTCAGCCATGCCACGTGCCCGTGTTTGGCTCTGGGAACACACGCAATGGCAGGGACGAGCAGGCAAGTACCCAGATAAATCCACCCCTGACTTCTGTGTGTTCCATCAAACCAGTCACTGGCGTGGCCACCCCAACACGAGGGTGCACAACAGGGCCCTCAGTGAGGGACAGTTGGCTCCTCTGGGCACCGTGGAGAAGGAAAGCTGCTTAGGTGGGCTGGGCCTGCTAAACAGCTTACGCCTTCGGAGAGCAGCCTTGAGCTCGTCAAGAGGATTGAGGAGCCCGGGTTAAGCCACACAAATGGACCATCATCTTTCCTGGAGGCTGCAGGCTTTCCTTTCACTGCAGCGTACTTTGTTCTCCCCGAGGAGCTCGGAGGAGGCTCCGCCATCTGCTCCGTGCCTTTCTTCCTCCCTTCCCAAGTCCCAGGCTGGCCTCCATGAGCAGCGTTGGTTTTGAAAGAGGAGAAGGAACTGCTAAGCCCGAGGCTGGCTTCCCCCCTCCGGTGCTATGACCCACTGAAGACAGACCCTGCTCAAGCTCGGCTATAATTTAATCAGTGTTTTATTTTGTCTCCTTCTTAACCCTTTCTTTTACATTAGCTTCTCCACAGGAGAGAAGTTCAGGACAACGTAATTTTGTTGCCAAGCCATCTCCCACCTTCTGGTTTTGCCAGGGCTACAGGACACAAATCCTGAATATCAACTCCAAAAAGGTTTCTTCAGAAATTGTTTTAATAGAACTTACTTACGTCAGGATTAACACACCGTGCCTACTGCACTTTAGTCCTGACCAAATCTGGCTCAGCAGAGAAGCAGCCTCCAGGTTAATCGGGCCTTTTTCACAATGGTTTGCTGGGGAAGACAACTCCACCAAAAAGGAGGGGGGAAAAGCACATGCAGCCTGGACTCCCAAATGAGAGTCCCTTGATTTTCTCATCCCTAGCACTGACTCTTCGTTAAAGGCTTGTCTTTTAAAGGCTTTAAAGATTTTTGGAAGATTGAAATTAATTTTGGTTTTATTTTGCTTGTGGTTTTGCTTTAACAGAGCTAATTTCATGAAGCACTTAATGACTTAAATTACATAATACATATTTTAAGTATAATATTATAAAAATTGTAATATATATTTTAAAACATAATTAAACACTCACCTGATGTCTCTCATAAATAACAGGAACACTGAAGAGCGAAATCAAAGCTGAAGAAGAGCACATCAAAGGTGTAAATATGGACAAAAGGGATAGTGTTCAAGTAAAATAAAGACTAGCCTCCACACCTTGACACTTCTTTCAAAAAGGTACAAGAAAAAGAAAAGCCACATACAAAAAACTGTTGTCCAGTAATTTAAATAATCCCTGTGAAGGAGAAGGTGGGCTGTTCTCCAGGTCTCATTAACAGTACAGTAAGTCTGGCCACAGTCCACTTTTTTGCTGTGGGTTATGCAAATTGCTCACAAAGGACGCTGAGGCTTCCGCTGTCAGTTTCTGACACCTGAAGGCAGCCTGCTCTGAGATACAAGAAACAAAACTATCTGCAGTGGGACATGGCCAGAGCCAATTCTGTACCTCCCCCAAAGTCACAAAGCAATGAAATTCCAGTGAGGCTAAACCTGACAGGGACAAGCACAATAGAACAGGCTTTTAAATGACACAATGTCTGGAAAATCAGCAATCTCAAGGAATTCAAGAATGCAATTCAAAATGATCTGTTCTGCGGCACTATCAACGTCCTAGAAAAAGGCCACGCAACTGTAACAGCCTGCTACACTCTGACGAACACAGGAATAGCCTCACAGTATCGGGCAGACTTCAGTGCTTTTCCAGGGTTATTGTGTATGCCAAGTATTCAACACAATTTAAAACACTTACCCAGGATCAGTAATGTCAGACCATTAAACAAGGCACCAACATAAGTGAACACCCACATCAACACTGCGAACTAAAAGGGAAAAAAACAGTGTATCAGCCCATGGTCTGTCTGACGAGAACACACTAGTCAGAGCAGTGAGAGAACTCCTAAACACACGTATGGAACTAAAAAGCCCCAAACTCCACTTTATCCTTGTACTTCTCATGTAATTATAGATGAGCGACAAGACTGCTGAAGAGTTCAGTAACAGGATACGCAGCCTCTTGCGTCTAGGTCATCGGGCTGAATTCAGCCCAAGGCAGCAGTGACCAAAACCTGTTAGTACTTGGTGGCTGCTCAATGCCTGCTGAGCTTGAACAGCACTTCCGCCTTGTGTAACGACAGACAAACACAGATCCTACCTCCTGCCCTTCAAAGAGAGGGAACAAGGCAGGCAAGTGAGAGGTTAAAGGGCTGGTGCATGACACAGCACTCGGTGACAGAGCCAGAAGGCAAGCAGGTCGCTTGTTTGTGTGGCAGCCCAGCAGCCAACATACAAGCGCGCCCACTCCGGGGCTGCGGCGCAAACAGCGGCCCCAAACTATCACAAACAGTCACACATCGGCCCAGCAAAGGTCTCGATGAACCACTGACTAGACTAGTCAGAGGCTTCTGTCACATCATGGGAAAAATGTGTCTGGACAGTAGCATAGTAAGGTTGGCTTAATTGACTTTTTTCCCTTATAAAAACATAGGAACCTTGGATACTAAAAAATTCAGGAAAGAGGGAAGTCTGCAGTGCCATAAAATGGAAGCTGGCTCTAAGGCAGAGACAAATTCAGAAGCGAAGACGTTCCTTCTGTGAACAGACACCTAAACCCTCATGCTGCCATAATTTCTGGCTTTGTATCCCAGTCCCTAGCTCTTATCCAGACCCTGTTCCTCCCCCCACCCCCCGCAGCGCCACCCTGCTGCCTGCACTGGTACAGATCCCATCGCGTACACGCTCCGCTCTGCTCCACTAGCTTTACACAAAGATCTGCAGAAGTTTGAGCCCCTCAGCTTTCTGCCAGGTGGAGAGTGTCCCAAGCACACCTCTGACCTATGCTGGGGTGCGAGGGGGCCGAAGGCTGCCAGCTCTATTTCTGTGCAGGATTCCTCCCCCAAGGAAAATCAGCCAGTTTCTTCTAGAGTTGCACAGCCCATAAGGAACCAAGCAGAAGCCAGGATCTGGATGTCTGACACACTGGACTTACCAGTGCCTGCTTCTTGCTAAGCACTGACTTACACTTTGCATTGTGCAGAGCACACAGACAAGAGCCCCAGCTTTCTCATCAATTAAGCAAGCCTGGTTATTTTCTGTGCGAGACACTGCAAAACACCAAACAGCCAGACAGACACAGGACAGACACAGCGGGGAGGCTGCTGCTGGTATCAGGGAGAGAAGATCCGCGCACAACTAACAACCGAAGGTGAAGCACTTCGATAAGCAGGAGATACACACAAGGAAAAGCAAGCTACAAAGCACTGGAAAGAAAAAATGCATGTCAAAGGATTGTGGATGCGGGTAACGATCTAGCCTGCAGCCAAGTTACTCAGAAGTTATGTACCCAAACATCCATTTTTAGCTTATTGTAACACGCAAAATATCCACACCAAACAAAATCAACAGCCAACAAGAGAAGAGCACGACAATCAATTCAAGTTTAACTGCACGGCCCCTGTATTGAAACGAAGTTTACTTCAACAGTTTCATTCAAAGCTGATTCCATTTGAAATTCAATGGGATTAACTGAAAATTATGCAGTTCTTTATCTGTCAGTTCCTCCTAAATGTGACGCAAGCAGCACCAGAGGCGCAGCATTAACCCTCACACAAGGCTGCAATGTAACCACCAACCGCATTCCCACTGAAGAATTTTTGGCAGGTTTATCAAGAAAAATAAAGCAGATTTCTCTAAACTCCCTCATGATTCATTCAAACCTTGGCCCAGTTCTGCTCTCCCCAGTGCCAGGGTGAGAGCTGGCTGCCAGTCTCTTTGCACAGACATTAAGGGAGCAAATGTTTTCGTTTCAGAGCAGGTCTGCACATGCAGCATGTCCTCCTCCCCAGCAAAGAGAGGAAAGTCAACAACTTTTCCTACAGCAAAAAGACCCCGAGTTTGCGATCATTCAGAACGATTCTCTTGCAGGCTGTGCATTCAGTACCCTAAATATGCCAGTTTCAAGCACACACAGCAAAGTATCTTGACAGCTACCCAAGGTCTCCTCTGCATGAGCACAATTACTGAAGCTAAGCACCACCCTGGTCAGGTGAACATTTAGTCATATTGCTGAAGACTACGACCAAGTCCGAACATGGGTGTTTATGTAAGCAGAGGGGTAACAGTTACAAATCAATCCCAAAGTCCAACAATTACCAGAACTACCCAGCCCTATTTAGTGAGCACTGAATTTATGGCCCAAGAAAGATCAAAATCCAGGAGTTAACGTTTGACTGACACAGGCTTTGCTTCTCTGAAAGTCTGTCCAGAGCAGCAGAGGTCCAAAGACAAACTGTGTTGCGTGTGCAGTTTTTAACCCACTTCACCTGTTCATACTGGGTGGGAGAGGGAACCACTGAGCCCAGCCAGACCACGCCCTCTCTCTGCCACATCAGTAAGAGACAGCACTTTGAAAGCTGGGGCTACCTCAGAACCCCCCTCCCGCAACTCCTTCTCTCTTCACACGCCTCTGGACAGCTAAAACAACACTCCCGGGATTATGTGGAGCTGATCTCAATCCCACATTTATGTACTGGTCTCCATTTTGTATTGGTCTTTTTATTTCCCCCCCCCTTAGAAATGAGACACCCAGAGAAGCTTACAAATCTAAGAAACACATCTACACACTTAAAGCTCCAAGATGAAAAAAAAAAAAGCAGAAGGCAACCCAGGATTGACCTACAAAGAAAATACTGCCCCTCCCACACACTCGGGACAGAAGGAAAGCACAGGGCCCAAGCTCAGCCTGAACATTACTATGACACATAAACCAGTAAAAACCCCGCGTACCTGATGGACGGAAGCGAGTTTCTGCCTACCTCATCCCAACAACTAATGACTCCCCAGTACCCAAAGCATACTGCAATTTAACAGCAAATGTCCATGTATCTGTTTCTTTACCATAAAATAGTTCAGATTCAGCAAAGAGCTGTGTTTCTCAGAACATCAGTTGAGCAATGACAAAGTGAAAGCATCTGTGCCCCGGTGCCAGCACGGCTACCATGGTGCAGCTGGGGGGAAGCACTGCCTGCTGTGTATCAGGACAAAGTGCAGTTTCTCCTGGGGCTCTCTGGCAAGGGCTCCTCTGGAACTGCTCCTCAAGAGCCAGGAGGAACTTCTCCTTGTGCTGCATAAATATTTGGAGTCCATTTTAAGACCTCCATGACTGAAGCATTGTTTAATAAAAAAGAAAAAAAAAATCTTAACAAGACAGGTTTTACAGCCAGAACTATTTCACACAATAAACTGACCTGCGGGCATTTCCTACATTAAAGCTCTCTAACTTTAATTATACACACACATGCTGTTTCCCATAATGAAGATGTTTAAACTACACAAGCCAAGATATTTTTATTTTTTTTTAAACGAGGGCCATTATATTACATCAGATCCCTGCATCTTAATGTTCTCCTCAAGCACAAACTCTTCAAAATCAATGACTTGTGCTTCTGAACCGGTCTGACATTCACTGGTTTCACAGAAGGGTTGCTCCCAACTACCATAAATTAGACTAATTAACCTACAAAAAATGCCTTAAACATCAGAAGAAGAGAGGGGAAATTAATTAGTTCGGCTGAATACACATGTCTTTCCTATATACGATAGTATTTTAAAAGTGATCAGAGTGCCTTGAAGACATTCCGACTGGAATTAATTCTACTTCTAACATAATTCCTCTGAAAGGCCCAATTTTCAAAGGTGTTAACTGAAACAGCAGTTGGCTGTTCACTACTTCCTTTTCCTTTACTGCAAGGGATTGTGACCTCTAAACAAATGGTGTAGAAATTCTTGTAACTCAGACGAAGGAACGTATCACAAAGGGCTTAATTATTAAAGAAACACAAGTGACCTTGTGACTGCAAGTTTTTCTATGATCTTGTTTAATCAGATCCCGACATGGCTTAAGCAAAATAACTTTTCTTTGAACACTGAAACTCAATGCCCTTAAAAACACCATAAAAAAAGAGTATGTTCCTTTCCTTCCTCGCACACCAAGTTTAACTTATCAAAATGCAATTCAGGCCAAGTAACAGTAATCCTTTTGGTCAAGACTGTGGCCTTGAGATTCTGCAGAGACGAATCCCAAGTACTCAGTCACTTAAGCATGAAGGTCAGACACAGCTTCATACAGACCAGACGGATGGGCAGTGGCGAGAGGACTTAGCCATCAAAATGCAACCCCCATGTGGAAACCCTGGCAAAGCACGGACAATAACAGCCTTATTTAAGCCACTCTGCCATAAAATGATTGCAACAGTATCAACCATGTCCAGAAAACAAGAAGGCACAGCCACCTCAAAAAAACACTTTTACTGCACAACCCTTCAGGAGCAGGACGATTGCACAAAACCCTGGGCTAATATCCCATCTCCTCGTTCCCTTTGAGAAAATGAATCTTTATCACGAGCAGCAGGTAACAGCCCTATGATCCTTCCTATCTCCACAGGAAAATTATTCTAAGCTGCAGGAGACCTGCACAGCATCAGGTGCAACTTTTCTGGCACAAACTCTTATGTTTAAGTCGGACCATAATGAGAAACTGGAACTAGGAACTCTGGGTAAGATCCTGAAATCTGCCTCCCATTTCTATTCCACAAATACAACAAAGACTTTTTACAGCCTCCCTATTTTTTTCCAAGTTTCACTAGAAACTCCATCCCCCAAGCCCACAACTCAAAGGACTTTACAAAGCACTAAGTAAGGGATTTACTGGAGGATAAATGCACCTCTATTTCAAGAAGATTAAGAAAGCTGAAAAAGAAATGGACAACATGTTGTACTCAGTAAAGGAAACAACTCTAAAAAAACAAAGAAAGGCGATTAGCTTGAAAGGAGAGAATACAATTCTCACAGAACAAAACTGAAAGCTTTTCAGTCAATTTTTTTTTTTTTTTTTTATTCTTCACTGTCAGTTTTGCTCTGCCACCTTCAATAAATCCCATTAAATACTACTTGGACACATTCACGACACCTGTTAGCAGTACTGCACTTCAGGCAGAGTAAGTAACTTGCAAAAGCCATTTCAGTAACTCACATCACTAAAAGTAGCAGCTATTCACACCCAAATCCAGGGTCTGAAACAAGTGTCCACCTTCCCAGTAAAACGAGGGCATCACTCAGTCCCCACTCTTCCAGCAAAAAGTGGACACAAGAACTCCCACTGTTTAAGGCAAGTAACTGTACACTAACCACTTGCTTGTCTCCGGACAGAGACAAACAGAAAAAAAGGAAACCAAACCAGAGTGTGGTAGCCTAGCCCAAACCAGAGACTTTTAAGAGGGACAGACAGACGTTAGTGACACCTTCTGAACGCCCACACTGGAGCAGTGTCTTGTTTTCTTAAAAGATTTCCGCTGTTAAGCACCAGCAAGGAGGTGTAACAGCTGAAATGCATGCAGCCAGAGCTTCTTTCAGCTTTCCATTCATTTTTATCATATTGTCAAAATAAGGCGCAGATCAAGTTATCCACTCTATTACTGCATGGAGCACTTCAGCTCAGTGTGCCTAACAAAGCTACACGTCTCGAAAAACGAAAAGGCTTATAACTTCCAACAAGCAAACTGAAACTCATTATTTACTTACACAAGAGTCAAAGCTGCTATTGTTCATTCATGTTTGCAAGTACCAGTGTTGACCAGGTCAGTAAGGCATCTATTTACACAAGGCTGCTGTAGCTACAGCTGAAGCAAACTTACCTTCAGAGAATCAACTAAGTCATCGACTAGGAAGAGACGTCTCAGCTCTTTGACTGTGCCATTAATGTGACCAAGCACAACATTACTGTATTTCTGAATAAGCTCTTCAGACACAGCTACATCAGACTCCAAGTAAGCCCTGCAAGAAAGAAGAGCTTATGAAACTTTACTGTAAGTGCTGCCGAATACCGTCAACATGTTATAGACAGAGTATCAACATACATTCTTCTCATGTTACAAAGAGATAAACCTCACCTTACGAGGAATGCTAAAAGGACAGAACAAAACTAACCAAAGTTATTCTTAAAAGGCAAAAGCGAACCTTAAAAAAACCCACAACCTCTTAGAAGAAAAGAGAAAAAAAAAATGTTTCTTTCTTACCGCTGTGCTGTTCCAGTGCATTTACTAAGTCTTAGCTGGGCTAGGCAAAGAGCTGCGCTGGCTAACACCTGCGTGTGAACTGACAGGGCTGGTGAGCAGCCAAACCCGTGGCCAGTACACCTGACCCATACGCTGCTTGGTCTATGAGGTCTCCTCCTGCCTCTCCACACGTGCCATGACCCAGTATTTAGAGACAGGCAGCCTGGGGGTGTGGTGGGGTGTCATGCTCATGTTTTGCTACGGTTTTAGGCAGCCTAGTTTTCTACCAGACTCAAAACACCAAAAAATCCCACAAGAGCCACGTATCCATTCACACCTCTGGAAGGCACTTCTGAAGTTACCATCAAGCTCTAACAGGCTAAGACATGGTAAAATAAGCAAGTTTTCCATCATTTGCTAAAAAAATTTCTTAGTTAGTGACAGCAGTTCTTTTAACAGAAAGATACAAGCTCCTACCTGGTTAAGCGTTCTCTCCACTACACCATGACTTTTATCTGTATTTGCAGTGACTATGGCAATTTAGAATCTTAAAATAAAGAATAATTTACTTATCTAATTTGCATGTTGGAGGTAGAAGGAGCAATGCAGCACATCTGTAACAGGGCACCCATTTGACAGTTACTACAGTTGTTAAACCTTCACTTTCATTTAGGGGGGGGATTCCGCTTTGGGTTGGTTTTGTTTGATTTTTTTTTAAATACAAAAAGTGCACATTGGAGGCTCCTACATATGTAATTTAAGGCAAAGCTAAACATGGCCTTGTGGCAAGTCCAAAACAAATTACAATACTTGAAATGGTAACTACAGAGGGCAGCCATGTCAAGGCTTCCTTCTGCTATCCATGCTTGGCTTGAATCTGCACACCCTTCTCAACTCATCAGCAAGACATTCAGTACCCAAATCAAAAATTAAATTGATCTCATGGATGTGCTCTCCACTGTCAAACAAAATGCAGGAAAAAACATCCTTGTTGTAGTAGAAGCTATACAAAGTAAGCAACCAGGTGTGCTGCACAACAATGTCTGGAAGCTTCTTATGAGTATCACTATTTTTAGAAATAAACTGCAGAAAGAACACAGGTAGAACAAAGTTTTGCTTCTTCTTGCTAAGGAAAAACTTAACTGGTAAACTTGGAAATGCTGTTTGGATACTGAAGAGTGCTACAGGGTAGATGCAGCAAATAGGATTTCAGGTGGGAATCATTCAGCCTCACGAAGGTAAGGGAGGCCATACAAGGCCTTGATGGTTAAAAACAAACCAACCAACCCGCCCCTAAGGTTGTATTTCATACTGCTACACAGAAGGTTGATGCCAATTGTTCAGATGGTTTTTTTTTTGTATCAGATCTAAGTTTGAAAGCAAATACTCCTTTTTTTCCCCCAGAGTTTTGTCCCACAGCTGTTTTAGGCACAGATTGGCTTCCACTGGGTAAATGAACCACTACACATAGTCAGGGAAGAATGGAGGTAAACCCAAGAAAACATTTTACTTTGCCTTACTGAAGATAAGAGGAAGAGAATGAGAATAACTAGAAACACCACAAAATTAGTAATAGAGCTGTAAATAGGAAGGCAAGCAGGAGCTTCTGAAAGGTTCAAGGAAAAGTTGGGACTGAACCACTCCATTCATTAATAAAAGGAGAGAAGCAAGTCAGAGCAGTGTGGGACAGCACTGGTATGGAAATAGGAATCACGCACTCCTAGTAGTTATTCTAGCACATTAAATAAGTTTTTATTTCTCTTAAGATGCAGCTTTGCAATAATGGGCACCACTGTACTCCACACAGAGAAGGATGAATACCATGGATACTGTATTCCCACACTGCAGGGAAGTGTGCACATGCTATGCCCCAAGGACTTAGCTCATCACTTACAGCAAAGAGCTCGGAGGTCCTCTTTTGAGGACCTAAATTAATCCTGTGATTCAACTCCTCAAGCCTTAGAATTCAGAGTCCAAGTTTCTGGATTTCCGATCCGGGCAGGCTACAATGAACCTGGATTCTGCTGATGACAAGGCAGCCTTGCATGTGGGGAACACAGCTATAATGCTATATACCAAAACACAAATTTAATGAGTATTCTTAAAAAAAAAACCTTCCAAAAAGATAAAAGCATCCCCTGCTACATTTATTCTGATTTTTGCCAAATATATTGCATTGAGTGGTGTGCATCTCCTGGTATTCTTTAAATTTTGTACACCATCTGTCACTAGTTCCCATTCTGAAGACTATACCATTCCAAAATTCACAAATTACTCCAGTAGACTGAAGTATCTACTTCTTTAAAATGTAACTCAAGATACTCTAGCATTCCCAGGGAAATCCCTTGTACCAAGCACTCAGTTCACTGTCTTTACCGCTGTGTACGCCTACCGGGAAAACTGAAGGAAGAGTAGTCATAGGCTGGGTAACTGATTTTTCAGCACAGAGACTATTTACATTATTATGCAACATATTACAGTATATATCATCTACTGCTTCTAAGAGCACCAATGCTGCTGTTCTCCAAAACAAGACATTTTTTCTTAATCAAAAGAAAAATCTCACCTAAACGGGTGGCCTTCATCAGACTTTTGGATTGCCTGGATAACTCCCTTGTATATCCTAAAGCTGATCGTCACAGAAAGCAGGGCCAAGGCAATGTAAGCTGTCACGCTCACGATGCTGAACACTGTTAATGAAAGCAGCAGGAACAAGCTGGCACCAAACACCACTCCTGTCTTCTTAATGTCTCGCCAGTAAAGGAGGTCAACAACTAAAATTAAAAAAAAAAAAGGTAAAAAATTAGAACAAGATACCTTTCGCATCCATATGAAAACAGTAAAACATGATTCACTTGACTCCTGAGAGTCATCAAGGGGGGAACTTGCAATCTCACTGTCAAACCTGAGCTGAAATTACAACTAGAAATAGCTTATTTCAGCACTCATTCTGCATTGGACTTCAGATTATTTGGATTATTGTTGTTAGGATTACCTCAAATGTAATTGCTAAAATGTAAGAACAATTCTGCCCTTAAGCAATGTCAGAATTAATCTCTTAACTACTGTGCTGTGTTCGGCACCAGAACCACAGCAGGTCGTGCTTCACTTCATTTTATTTTTGTGGGTTTTGTGGAGGTCGCTCATTGAAGAGATTGATTCCAATCTGCAATCCCAACAAATGACAAGACACTAACAGATCTCGAAACCATTATCTTTCCCAGTCTGGTAGAGGCAAAGGCACTGCTCAAGACTCATTAACGGTTCATTTTGTTTCCTCTTGACTGAGGATGTTCCCATCGGAGTTTATAATGTTGATTATAGGTGACAGACTGAGCCATCAGGAGGGAAGAACCTCACCGAAATTTCAATCCAGGCTGTACCTGCAGTGCTCCAATGCAAAATACTTCATTTATAAATCAGGTTTATTTTTTCCTTCAGTGACCCTCATGAGACAACACAATATTATGCCATTTTTAGCATCACTGTTTAGAATAAACTACACCCTTGCACAAGTTATAGGTAATGGCTTAACACATCCCCTGCAGATTTGTCTGGTTTGAGGGGCTGTTGATTACCTTACTGAACTCACAAAACCTGGCAAACGTCATTCTCCATTGCTGAGTACCGAACTGGGCAGGGGCAGCTAGTCTGGTTTTATACTTCATGGTGAGACACACAATAAAACTTAGTCTTCATGATTTCTACTTCCACACCTGATTAGATTCTCACAAGAACAAATTCCTCTTCTGCATCAAAACTTCTTGTTAACAGCAATAATGTATTAGATACAGAACTCAAGATAAATTATAGAAAAATTACTACTACTACATCGCAAGCCTAGCAATCCTATCTCTTCCTAAACATCACTGAATTTAATTGTAAAACTCCACATCACAATTCAGATTAGATTCTTACTCAGAATGACTGTAGAAGATCAAAAAATAAAATTTGACTATTATTTCTTACAGGATGAATATGTGGTAATGCACCAACATTCAATATTTAGTAGCCTCTGTAGGGCAAAGTCTGCATAACCCCTTTGTAGGTACAACATGAAAATGCCACTGGGGCTGTGGTGCAATTCCTCAATGTTTCGGAAGCTGAAGTCTTTTCCCAGTTATTTCTGTAGCAAAACCATACCAAGCATCAGACGCTGGAAAGACGAGAACCCTGGTCAGGAACTTAAAGCTGTCATTTTCATAGGCAAAATATTGTACTCAAATATTTAATTCACATTTCAGAAGAAATTCCCTGAAGTTCTACAGACAGAAACAGGTTACGGGTCATGAATGTCTTAAATTTATCACAACCCAAAACTGCTGTGGAAATAAACAGCCTCACCCCTCCATCACCACTCAATTCTTCTGCATGGCCCCACACAGACCCAGCCTGGATTTCTGTATGCTGCTGACAACTACTGCACCAAAAAAATAAAATAAAAACTAAGCAGCCAGCCAGATCAAACTCTGCTTGTGGTTCACCATGTGACTCCACAAACATATGGGGTGAGAGATAGAGCAGCCAACTGAAGGAGGTGACACTCCTGCTCCCAGAACAGCACCAATCTAAAGTCCTTGTCAAATTGCAGCCCAACCTATCCGTGCACCCTGCTGACCTGTTACTCCACTGGGTCTCTTCATGTTACAAAGCTGCACTTCTATTTTCCCTGTCAAACAAATGAAGCTCTAAGACAGGCAACTTTTCTTTAATAGTCGTAAAAATCAAACAAACAAATAAAATCAAGTCTTCATAGAATTCCTTTTGTATGGGCTATAATCTCCAAATTGAACATTTTCTTTTGCTTTGCTTCTAATTACAAAAGCATCTATTAATGTCTCTGTACACCTTAGGTTAAGCAAGTGTAGCATGTAAAAGGAGCTTAGGCACGAAATTGTGAGCTTAACCTAAAAATTGCTGTAAACTGTAAACCTAAACTTAGCTGCAAGTATCCCAAACGCCTGGGTAAGATTTTCAAGACCAGACTTGCCAAAAACAAGTTGGTGAATTCTGTGCTCCTAAATCATGCAAGAAATCTGTGAAAAAGCTCATTTCTTTCTGAGTATTTGCTTCAAATACTGAAACTATATTTATTTTTAAATGCTGCAATTTGAGCATCCATACATTCCAATTTAGGTGCTGCTCCCATATCATGTGACACACCAAGTATGAGCCCTACTCCTCTCCGTTTGCAGACAGCATTAGTTCTGTACATGAGAGTCTCCCTCCTCTGTAACACAGTTCTAAAGCCTCTCCACTGACAGTGGGCTCTTACTGTTTCAGAGGAAATCCATTATTACAAGCAGTTAACACATTATACCTGAGCCCAGTTACACCGAATGTAAAGACAGTAATTCATCTGTATGACAGTTTCTAAAATAGGAGAAACAAAGGTAAATTGCTGGAATTAAACCATACCACAAATGCCAAATGGCCCCTAGTGACCCATCTTCAAGTCTTTTGTTCTCAGCAATCAGTAAGAAAAATCCCCAAGCTAGGACCTCCCAGACCAGAGTTAAGCTGCACACGAAGCATTTTTCCTCACTCTGTCTCCCCTCCAATTGGAGAACTACCCAGCCAGCCTCAGGTTCACGACACGCGTATCTGGTTTCATTGTAAATTCCTCAGAGGGAAATTCAGTGTTAGAAGTCACTGAAAAACTGATTTGTAATTTTCAGAGCAAGTGAGTACTTGATTAAATTGATTTATGTTCTCCAATTGATCAGAAACAGGTATTTGCATTTCTTTCTAAAAGTAAAAGAAAATATTAAAAGCACTACTAGAAGCAGCTTCCTGGCTTTAACTTATACACAAGATACTCACAGCAGATTAAAAAAATAAACAAAACAGAAAAACAAACACACACACACACACTGCCCCCCAATTCTCAGGAGCAGCCCTGCCACGCAGTACCTTTCCTCACAGAAATGGTTTTAAGCTTTGTTTTACACAATATGAACTATAATCTCATGCATTTAATGCAAGTATTCCAGGCCTATTCTAAAGCAAGTAAGCACAGCTGCCTACATTTGGTAAGCATGAACTGTCACTTGGCACATCTAAAAATAGTACTGCTAGCATCCGTGCCTTACATGCAGAACTCATCCAATTACATTTTGCTTTTAAAGCAAGTGCCGTGATAGGTTTATCACTGTAATTTTTTAAATTTTTTTTTGAAGTATTTTCTTTCTTTCACAGACGTTTAATTTAAAACTGAACAATTCATATTATTTTTTCATGGCAAAAAAACAAGTGGTCTAATTATTTAACCTGATAATCCTCTTTTAAAAGAAACCTGAACCACGTAACCCTCTCTTTTTTTAGAAAGAGAAATTAAAAGCCTCGAGATCTACAAGCCAGTTTAACTCACATCTACCAAAGAAAACCAAGAAAAAGGGACTAACCCATTTTGGCATCCATCTTGAGTGTGCCTGCCTGCACCCAGCCCTTGCCCAGCTGACTACCCAGCGCCTTTTCACTTCCTGCGAGGGCACGGGGAGGTCGGCAGATATACGCAGCCGCCTCGCCAGCCGAAACC